CATTTAAACCCAGCTCAGTTTGCCTAAAGCAGACTTGGCTCGGGAGTCGGAAGGTCACCTAAAATAAATAAACAACGCACAGATCACTCGGCATCCCACACATAGTGAGAGCAGCACTTTGAACGGATAGCCAAGGCCACACCGTTTAGCATTCAGTAGCCTGAAGCGGTCCATAAGGCTGGCAGTCTGAGAACAGAAAGTCCGAGTCCAGCCTGACTCCCACTCACTTGCCACATCCGTCACGCTGCTCTTTTTGCCACATTTTTGGCCTGCCTGTCACTGTGCCGTTTGCCGTTGTAAGCTGACAGTGCAGATAACAATATGTTATTCATTCAGTGCCTCGGGTTAGCGGCTCAACCCATACTCAGACCAGGATTTCTTCAAATCTTTTTTTACATTTCCATGTTCTTCAACTGTTAAACTCCTGCATTTTTAAAGGGGATGTTTGTACCGGGAGGTACCATCACAGGTGACAAATGGCTGAGAAAACTGTCAGTTGTCTTAGGAATCTTTCGAATGAAAGCAGGATTGTCAGGCTGGAGGAGCACACCCCCTCTGAGGCCATGTAGGCAAGATTACGCACTACATCAGTGGAGCTCTGTTCCCAGCTTTTAGAAGACTTCACAGGCCTTTAAAAGGAAACTCAGTTGGATCTGTGGCTCGTTATTCACATCACATCCACATGGCAAAATGTAGCCTCAAGCACATGCATGAGCCAGGTGCCTGGACTCAAACGCACACCACACCCTGGAAATACAATATTTGGGGGCATGGTTGCCTTCACACACCTTCACACGAGCACACACACACATGCCCTTTGTGGTAGCAGGAGCCCAGCGGGTTACATCATCCGGGGAAGAGTTTATCAACCCCTGATCAGGAGCAGCCAGAAGAGTCTCAAAGGCTGTTTTGTCTTCCCCTCGCCTGAAACTCACTGAACCCACAGGTTGCCCTCCAGCCGCGCGTATTTGTTTACAGCGGCTTGAATTTGCAAGTCTTTATCGTGGCAGCCGTCCGTCTCTGTGGGGAAGCGTTTCCCATGCAGTGTGTCAGTGCCAGAGGGGTTTCAGTCACTGGTATTCAGGTGTTTGTTTAACCAGCTACCTCATTAGTTTATTCACTCAGTCAGAGGTTTAAACAGAGGTTTGTTATTAGACAAAATAATATTTCATATTCATTGCATTTAATTTTTCTTCTGGGAAATGTGTGTTCAGATTAGCATTTGAATATCCCAGATGTCTAAAAAAAATTGAATTTCTCAATATGCATCTTCACTGGAAAGCGGTTTTGATTTATTTTTAGTTTAATTTTACATAAACACAAATCTAGGCAAAAAATGTCAGTTTATGTAAATAATCTTAAACAGAAATTGTGTTACGCATGCAACATGAACAAATGTGTACTGCCATTACTTTTCTCTTCTTGTTTGAACCCTTCCTCTTAAAGGACTTCAGATGTTGCTTAACTTAAATATTTAATCATTTAAGTTTCATGGCTATTATTTGTTACATAGAATGTCTTACCATAACTCAGCTTGTTTAGTAATCTCTGCAAAAATTGTCACTTTGATGCATTTTCGATACGTTGTGCTTTAATCTAATGAATGATCCTCATTGGTTCTCAGATTCAAGATCTGCAAAAACCTAGATGATCGTTCAAGTAAATTACTCAATAGATCATTTTGGACTGAAACTAAAACAGTTACTTATTTTGCTTAAGACAAATGTTTGAAAAACAGATGGCCTGAAGAATAATTTCTGATTGTTTTCATTTCCTGGCAGACATAGAGACAAAAGGAAGATTACAAACAATCTGAATATAATATGGTAGGTGTGTAAAGACTGATCTAGCATAGAATCGGTCACATACAGCCCGGAGAAGCCTTCAATTAAACTAATAGAATAACTCAAACCTTGTGAATGTTAGTTGCTTTTCCCTGTTTCCACATTTTTCTTCGTCCTCCTCCCTGGTCATGACCATGCCAACTTGAGGATTTGATTTTGGCAGATTAAAAGATCAAAAGCACAAAGATATTCTTCTCTTTTTTCCACTTTTTCATTCTGGCAGATTAAAAAAGGATGTTTGACATATGTTGCTTGGTCCAGCTTCTAAGATTTCACAGCTGCACAGGATTTCTTATCCTCTCATGTCTCATCTCTAACAGTTCTGTGAAGGAGGGAGACCGAAGTCTGACTGAATAGGGGATTTTTTTTTTCCTGTGGTGTATCTAATAGAAGTATACACAAGGAAGGATGAAGGAGTGGAACACTTTGGAATGATTCCCAGTTCTCATCACCATCATGCCGAGACCACACAGCCACAAAATATTCCAAAACAGCTGGGATACAGGGGATAAACTGGAGGTGTACGGTCCCTTTGATGGTGCAGCAGTCAATACGACAGTCTCCTCTGAGGCCATTTGCTCTCTCCTCACCTGCAAGGAAGAAAAATGCTAAATGATGTGCAAAGAATGCATTTAAAAGGGGGGGCAAGTATTTCAGAAGAGAACTCCACTCAAATTACACCATCTTGTCTGGTTAACACAATCCTAGTTTCAAGTGTCATTTAACAACCAGACATCATTTCCCTGAGAGTTGCAAGCAATTAAGAGAAAACTCCCCAAGGCATAAACAAAGGCAGGAGAGGAAGTGTTAGGAGGCTGCGTGCCATCTTAAGGGTGCAGATTCCTGTGAGAAAAACAGTGACAGTGCAAACAGCCACAGATAATTGAGGGAACCCATTTTCCTTCAGGCGGTCGACAAAACTTTTTGACATTTTTTTTTTTTTTACACACGCACTGCTAAGCAGCAGTTGTTTCCGGATGACCACAGAGACAGGCGCAACCCTCTGGAACAGCACGCAGGCTTCTTCATCATCGGCATACTCTGACGATGAGTCCTGGCCAGCCGCAGGATCCTGGCCTGCCTCCCAGCCAGCCCGGCTAATTAGTCCCCCTCTTCTGAGCTAATTGGCCGATAAAAAATGAGGATGGCCTCTTCACCCAGCCGGAGTTTTGTGCCACCAAATGGCAGCAGGGGGGATTATGCGGGCTTATGAGCCACGGTGACATTCAGCAACAGCCCCTCCTCTGCTATTAACTTCACCTCTGCCGTGTCACTTTGCTCTATTAGTGGGTAAAACTTTGGCCTCGGGTTGACTTCCATCTACATATTCTCATTAAAAGCCTTTGTACAAATGAACAATGAGATCATTCATTTGAGCAGAAGTTGAGTCCTGGCTGATATCATTGTTACAACATGTTAGTGGGAAATTGCACAGGGCTTATCTTACTTTAGAGGCTTTTGATTTTCTTTGAAATGTCAGAACTGGAAGTTGGTGGTTTGGAATTTCCATAAAAACCTTTCTGACAAAAGACCATGATTCAAATTAGTAGAAAAACAAAACTGGTGAGGAGTTGTTTTGGGGCTGTGGTGGCTGAGACAGAAAACCTTGTGACTGCAGTGTTCTTGGTTTGTTCCTGACTGTAGATCTTTGCTAAATGTTTCACACATGACTCTTTCTATTTAATAGAATTCTTCACACTTATACAACAAAAGAAAAAAAAAGCCAAAAATGATGAGAAATCAAATACAGAAATGACACTTTCAGTGAGGAACCAGTCAAATGAATATTTATAGCATAGAGATGCCTCTCTGGCCGTCAATAAATTAACACAAGCTCAAACCAAAAATGAAAATGAACGGGGAAAGCTTCTTTAGAGACAAACGTGTCATATAAATGCATACATCCGAAAGAACAAAAAGCCTGCTCGTTTATTCCAGCTTCAAAGCCCACGGATGTGATCGCGCTGAGCGTCAAACTCTACAAGAGGGTGTTTTACTCTCTGACATTTCTCCAATCAGCTTCCATAAATTTACAATTAGATAATTTGCACATGCGGAGGACTCCGGTTATGAATGGGTGCCTTCCCCAAGTCCCGCCCCTTCCGCTCACTCACACCGACCAATCAGAGGCCTCGCTGCGCCTCGATGGGACGTAACGTCAGCTGCCGTCGTGTCGGGATTGGAATGTTACCGTCTAACAATCGGAACAACTGAGCACTCGGTAATTGGACACTAGTATCAAGGAATCCCTTCTTTTTAAACATTTTTTCTCCAGCCCCTTAACCCGGTAGGAGGTGACTGTGCGCTAGTCCCCCGCACACCGGAGAACTTCAAGCCGCGGCGCGACTCTCCGCCGATGAGGTTTTCGTTTTATATTCGTGCGTTTGAGTGTGTGAGAGGAGGTGATAAATAAGAGAAATGCAGGGATTCGTCAGGTTACAGTTGTACCGCTGAGCTGCCCCCCCCCCCCTCGCGCCCCCCCCCCTCGCTCCCCAGCTCTCTCCGCCGCGCGCGCCGGTGTTGTGGATGTCTTCACGCGGGACCACGGAGTGATTTAAAGAAGGGGGAGAAAAGACCCAATTCAAGCCGAGGCATCTGGGTAGGAGCTCGGTGGTCACACCGCCGGGTTTGGGTTTTTTTGGGGGTTGTTTTTTAATTTTTTTTTATTGGTCAACGTGTTACCGGACTGAACATCCGAACCTGACCGTGCCTCCACGTCTGGGAGAGCCTCGGGGACCCCGGCCGTTGCTGTCTGGCTGTCCGCCCGTCGGTCCGGGAGGAGAGTTCTGAGACCGGGGCCGCCGGACAGCTTTGTTTCCGAACCGCCTCGCGCAGCCCGGGAGAAGCCCGGAGCCCCAGCCTGTGGTTTCTGTCCGAGCGGAGGAGATTCTCCGCGCGAAGCCCCGCGCGACATGCTGAAACTCCACAGAAGAGGGAGGAAAGAGCAGCGCTTCTAAAAAAAAAAAAAAAAGAGCCAAATCGCCCACATGCACTGGATCAATCGCTGGATTTGGGAACCGAATACGCCGAAGGGGGGTTGGGGATCCTTGGAAGCCGCCGGAGGATGGAGCGGTGTAACCGGGGCTGGTGAGAGCCTAACTTCGGGCCACTTTCCGTTTCTTCTTCCCGAGCGACTCGCCTCTGATCCCAGGACACATGCAGGCCAAAAAACGCTACCTGATCCTGCTCTCCGCCGGTGCGTGTCTGGTGCTGCTCTTCTGCCTCGGGGGGGTCCAACTTCCAGCGGCCAGCAGGAGCCGGCATGACCGCAGCAGGCACGGGTACCGGTCCGAGCAGCCCTGGCCCCACTACTCGGACCCGTTACAACCCTCCCTGCCCCGGGATCAGGTGGACGCCGAGGAGTACAACGTGCACATATCTCCCAGGCAAAAGAGGGACGTCAACACGAGTGTTTACAAGGGCAAGAGGTGTCGCATGGACTCGTGCTTTGACTTCTCCCTGTGCCACAAGAACGGATTCAGAGTTTATGTTTATCCCCAGCAGAAGGGGGAGAAGATCTCAGAGAGTTACCAAAACATTTTAGCCACCATCGAGGGTTCCAGGTTTCACACTGCAGACCCGGGACAGGCGTGCCTGTTCGTCCTGGGTCTGGACACTCTGGACCGAGACCAGCTGTCCCCCCAGTACGTCCACAACCTGAAGACCAGGGTCCAGAACCTGCCCCTGTGGAACGACGGCAGGAACCATCTCATATTTAACCTGTACTCGGGGACGTGGCCGGACTACACGGAAGATCTGGGCTTCGACATCGGCCAGGCCATGTTGGCCAAGGCCAGCATCAGCACCGAGAACTTCCGGCCCCACTTCGACGTGTCCATCCCCCTCTTCTCCAAGGAGCACCCGCGGACCGGCGGGGAGAGGGGCTTCCTCAAGTACAACTCCATCCCGCCTTTTCGCAAATACATGCTGGTGTTCAAAGGGAAACGCTACCTGACCGGTATCGGCTCGGACACGAGGAATGCCTTATACCACGTCCACAACGCGGAGGACGTGGTGCTGCTCACCACCTGCAAACACGGCAAGGACTGGCAGAAGCACAAGGACGCGCGCTGTGACAGGGACAACGCAGAGTACGACAAGTAAGTAGGAGTTAAGAAAGTGCTGGATGACAGAATGTCCCCCTTTAAAACCCATACGCACAAAAAGAGATCATTCAAATATGGGTGTGTGTATGTATATATATGTGTGTATGTGTCCATTCAGTGGCGTTTGGGTTGCTGTTTACACTTCAGATCTCTTGGGTGTCAAACATTTACTGGTTGTTACTTTTCACTGCGCCTGGTGCAAAATCTTACTTGGAAATTGCCGGAAGTCTTGGTCGGTTATGCGTAAATTCCCCCCCAGCCTTTTCCATTAGCTCTCCCTGGACATCCCCTGGCCCTCCCCTCAGTGGCTCCTTTCCCATGAAGGAATTCGCCCGCCTCCAACACCTTCCAGCTCCTCTCTGTGGGCGCACTGCAGTCTCTCACTGGGATATGCAGGGACACGTTGGATTTTGCATCACGTATACTTAAGTGCGAATTAAGTGAAAGCTGACCATGGGAGCTGTGCTCTGAAATGATTAGCCCTGTTAACGTGGCCTTCTCCTGCCCCGGTGCTGCCTCCCTACACTGTAGTTTTCACAGGCTTTACTGTGGAACACCCCAGATTGAATTAAAAGAGTGATTTAGTGCAAATAAATCAGTCATAAAGGGTTAATTACCACTTTAATTTGCGGGGGTTAGTGTCATCTTTCCTTGTTGCCCCCCAGGGACAGTTGATTACCTCTCATTTTAGAAGTCTTGGTTTTCTCAAGGTGGTAATTAATGATTCCCTGTGGGATCAACAGCTGTACATGCTTGGTATGTTTTAAAATAGAGGGAGGTGTTGTCTCAGGCGCGCACAGTTGGATTACGACATGAACCCGACTGTCAGGTTCACCTCTCTGTGAGTGACATCGGTTTGATCTGCTTTTATCGGGCCGTGGATCCCAGCATTTGTAAAGCCTGGATAAACTCAGGGCGTGTGATAACAGCACTCGTCATTGTTCTGTGTGTGCGCGTGTGTGTGTGCGCACGTGTGTGTGTATGTTGAGGTGAAAGGAAAAGGGCAGCGTATGGAAAGTGAGCGTACGCATATTCCGGTACTATCGGGCGGAGGATGAGGGGAGAGGAGGTGCGGGGGGAAGACGAGTGGGGCTTTTTAACCTGACACATGTTGGGTTCAGGGGGGGGAGCGTGTTTCCTTGAACTTAACCTGAACTCGGGAACTTTCAGCGCTCCGCAGACTCGCAGGTAAAGTGGAAAAGAGCCCTGACACTAACTTCACAAGAATGCACTTGTCTATCCATTCGTCACCCTTCCCCCCCCCCCCCCCCCCCCCCCCCCCCCCAGTTCTCCTCCCAGCATGCGCACTCCAGCTCTGCCTCTGGGTGCCCTGGGCTCCGTGTCACCTGGAGAGACATGTCATCCATTATCTGACATTCCAGTCATCTCTGCACAGCCCACCGCGGCTCATGGCTCCGCTTCCCAGTGGAAGCAGCCTTGTTTTCCCAAAGGTGGCTTTGTCTCTGGAACATCTCGGTACCATAATCAGATCATTGATCCAGCTGATGGCAGCAGTCGGGGAAACCTGAGCCCCCGCTCTCCTGTCCTCCCCACTGTGTTCCAGAGCTGATTTACTTTGATACCGCTGCCTGATACTCATTTCATTTCCAGCATCCACGCCGTATTGAATTCCTGTCCCCACAAAAAAAAAGAAATCCAGTAAGTCTAATTTAATTTTCCCCACAACAGGTGTGGTATTTGGCAAGAAGTTTGCTTTTGGTTGTGTAAGACAGGTTTTCATCATTGTAAAATAGATTTCGCTGGGGGAAAAAAATCTGTGCTATGATGGATAAAGAGCTTTGGAAACAAACTGTTTGCAATAAGGTGAAGTGTTTGTTTCTGGTATGATTCAGTAAGCTGTTAAACAGTCTTTTTTTTTTTTTTGCGGTTGCAGATGCATTCCCTTTAATCAAATGTAAGACCGAGCAAGTGCCAAGTCACGCTTGGCAAGAGGCAGAAAAACCCTGACAAAGCTCTCCCAGGTAAATGCGGCTATATGCGGCGGGCCGGCCCGTGAGCGATCCCATCAGGAAGCGCGGGCTCAGGAATGCACGCATGTGTCAGAGCAGCTGTTGGCGGCCGCGGACCACGTGCACACACCTGGACCCTCATTTTCTGTGCAGTTTGACGCGTGCCTCTGAAAGGAATGCGATAATGCACGCACACGATCAGTTCACATTGAACACACACACACCCGGGAGCTGGGAGCCTTTACCTCTGCGGCTCCTGCTTCCAGGCTCAGCTTTGCCTCCGGTCCTTTGACCCTGCTGCCTTCCCGTGGAATGCTGCTGCTTTGCTGAGGAATGCCGCTGGATGCTAATATAGGCACCCACAGCGGCTCCCACCCACTCGGCCCGCACGCAGACACACAGGCACCGTGCTCTATACGTTTATCCAATTGATTTTCTTAGCTGTAATAGCTTTCAATTGGAGTCACTCTGGTCCACTTCCATGGGCGAGCGCTGATGAAAGGGCACATTCACGGCTACATTATCCAGCGAGTTTTCAGGGCCGCTGACAATAATCCTGGGAGAGGACAGTGGAACGCTATTACTGGCTCCACAATTGGAACATTTTGATGTCGGATGGCAGTAATGCTGTGGCGTGCGCTGACTAAACCTTTTTTTTTTTTTTTTTTGGAAGACTTCCTTCTGGGGATTTTTGTGTGTTTCTTTTTTGTCTTTGTAATTCGTGCCAAACTAACCACTCCTTTTTAAAATGGACGAGCAGCATCTGTATCAGTAAGCAATCGCTTAAATCGTGGACGTCTGACACCCAGGAAAACAAACAAGTAGTTGTGTGCAAGCCAGCATTGAATCAACTATTAATGCTGCAAAATATTCTGCTGGACTCAAAAGTGTCGCATGTTACAAATTGAAAGTGCCTCATTGTTATTGCTGAGAGTCTATTAAAGTCTGACAGCATAGTTCCCTTTTTTTGCTTCTTTTTTAAGCGTTTCTCAGCTAACATCTGTGTCATCACCCCCCATTTAATACCTAACCAGCTTTGTTGACTCGTATTGACTTTGCACTTTAGCTACTTTACAGGCAGCTGCCACTCAAGGTCACCCCGGGGCTTTGAAAAGCCAAAGAGTGAAAGCAGGATGTGGCGAGAAGTGCAGGGATAGATTGTCAAGAGGGGATACAAGGAAGCGGTGGTCGTTTTGAAGAGTCCTGAGTGTTCTCAGTGTAAGAATCGAGGGTCCAGAAAATTGCACGTACGGCGGGATTGTTCTCTCCCATTAGGAGTCAATCAAGCAGGCACTGTGGCATTTTCCCTTCCACGACAGTGTCATCAGCAGAAATTTCCCCCACTTGAGAAAAATCATCTCAAAAGCCCGAGCGGCAGGCAGGGAGAAGGAGAGAGAGAGAGAGTCTAACCTCTCCACCTCCACGTCTTTTCTTTTTCTTCCCCTTTGCTTTAATCCCTCATTTTCTCTCTCTCTCTCTCCCTCCGCCTCTCAAAGCAACATGGAAACGCTGATGTGTTTTCCGTCTCTGGCAAAGCGGCGGCTGACATCTCGCCGACTCGGCTCCTCCTCTTCCGAAAAGAAAAACACAAAAAATCCAGCAGATCTTGACCAAGTCTGAGAAACCGGCGGCGCTTCCCCTCCGCCTTATCTCAGGAAAGCACTATTATTATGAGTGGAAACGCCGGCACTCACCTGAATGTCAGCGCCGGCTGAGTGTGGAGTCCTGCTGGAGATTCTTTTGGAGTGCGGGGTGAATAGCAAACAGACATGTTGCTGCCTCGGTGTTTGGCAGGAGAGGGTGTCACACTCCCCGGGTTGCCATTGTTTGTTTTTCTGTAGCCAGATTAATAAATCATGAATATTTCATGATTGCCTGCTCACTCTTAGATAAAGTACCCAGCTTGTGACGGAGAATGTTAATGATGTGGAGGATAATTGGTTTGAATGTGGTGCGACGCAATTAGGCCTCTTTGATATTTGGGTGCGTGCGTGTGTGTGAGAGGCAGATTTGAGCCCATAACTACATAAAACTGCTGTTTGTTATTTTATCTTATCAGGCTGTCCATCTATCTCAAATCCCGTCCAACTTTCCTTATCTCTGCCTTCCTGTTATTTTTCATTATCGCTGTTCCCAGTTGTGTTTTGGAGTGTAATGTGTTGAGTAAGTCACTGTGTCCCTGTGCGGCCTCCTGTCCGACCCGCACGCTTCCTCTGAAGCTGCAAGCTCTGCTTACAAACCTCAGCCACAAGTCCTGTTCAAACCTTATACATTTATTAGATATACAACTCGCACTTATCGTTCCATTGTAATTTCATCTAATAAATCTCAACATACGGTGGAGAAAGAACAAGAGGCCAACTGTAGACTTAAGCATTTACTCCCGAAACTGAAATCTATTAACTTTGCAATGATATGTGACGTAAAAAGTCCACAGATAAGACACTGATGAATGAACCTGTTCTGTCTAAAGGTTACAAGCCTGTCTGAGCTTTTTATCCAGCTTGTTCTCATTTGCAGCTTGTCACACACACACCTGCTCAGGATCCCATTTTTCCAGGAGAAAAAGGTATCCCTAAAGGCTTTAATTGGACATCTAAGATAGATGGAACTGTTGTTAAATGTCCCCTGAGAGTGAAGTGGTCTCAATTTTTTTTTCTCTTTTTGAAAATTTTGAGTAGTCAATTTGTCTTTAGATTTGGATGTTTCTCAAGTTTATTATTTAAGGTGTATAAGATTATTCTTATTTTGTAACATATTGCGGGTTATGGGTTTTGTTTTTTGTTTGTGTGTTGACATACATTTTTTGAGTTGGCTAAGAAATTGAATGTGTAAAACTTAATAGATTATTTACTCTTTTCAAAATGTCTAAAATGATAAATGATCTAAAAGTGTTGAGACAGAGACGCTCAGACTCCATCTCTGCAGAGCTCTGCTGTGTCTGGCTGTCCGTCTTCCTGTGTGTGTGTGTGTGTGTGTTTACTCATCATTTCCATACACAGACATGTATGTGTGTGTGTATGTGTGTCTGCACAAATCAAGGTTGGGGTCATAACCCTGCTGTCTGTCCCTTACTGAGTGAGGAAAGCAAAGCCCCATTCACTGACCCACATTTACCGAGGGATTACCACTTCAGTTCATCCATGCTGTGCCCCCCCCCCCCCCCCCCCCCCCCCCCGGGGGGGGGGGGGGGGTGGAGAGGCCGGGGGGAAAGCAGGGGGGGGGGTTTCCAACCCAAAATAAAAGGACCCGGGGGAAGCCCGGGGTATCCCTGCCCCCCCCCCCCCCCGACCGCCATACAAGCCCCTGGCTGTGGCATGAGGAGCTTGATCGGCTGGGACATGTACCCTCCCCCCCTACATGAAAAACAAAAAATGATGGAGATTTGCAGAACACTGGGACAGATCCTCTGGAAAGCCGTTTCCACTTTGGGGAAGGAGCCGTTCCAAATGTTTGCCGTGCCTGCAGGAACTGAAGGGGCGAGGAAGAAGAATAACAGGCCATCCAAACATCTTCCCTCCCCAGGACTGTCAGGAAGCGTTTAAGAAGACTGAGTTGATGAGGAACACAAGTCAGAAACTCCCCCCCCATTTTCTCTCTCTGCCCGCCACAGTAAACCAGAGCTGACTGACGTCTAGCAGAGACCAGTCAGACAAAGAAAGCCAGATGTTTCCTGCTGGAGACCCGAACCCTTCTGCCTCCGCCTGGAAGAGGCACGAAGGCGGCACGTGGAATATCCAACGCGCTGTGAAAAACTATCGTGAGTTAGTTCTTTTCCGCGTGCTTGAAAAAAGAGACATTCCTCAAGTCGGGTGCAAAACATCCGACCTCCCGGTCGAATGCAAACGACAGAACCCCTCCCGGCTCCATCGGGGCCGCTGGGGTTACTCCTGTCTGCTACTGTGAGCTGGATCAGGGTTTCACACGGGGGGGGGGGGGGTAATCTTTCCTTATTTTTTTATTTTTGCCAAACTGTTTGTGAGTGTGAAAATGCCTCATGGGGAATGACCCTGCAGTCCACGGGTTGTTTAACAATTTAACAATTTCCCCGTCAGTAACTGGGCAGTGGTTGGGAACCAGCTCGGACGGTGGCGGCTGCTCTGCCCCCCCCCACACCACACACACACACAGAACCCGCAATAATAAGATTGACATTTCCTTCCAAAACCAAGCAACACAGAGCTCTCCGGTCAGAGCAGTCCATCAGCATTGTTGATCCCACCCTTTGTGAGATCCAGGCCTCCCTCGGGGGGCGTTGCAACCGCTCCGCAGAGGAAAAAGGAGTGGGGGGTGGGGTTTGGGGGGGTGGTGGTAGGTAGTTTTTACGGCCTCGCAGAATGGCAGCTTTTATGGCCCCGAGAGGCCGTTCAGCAAACACCTACCAACAGCAGATGAATGGGAGCGGGGATCGTCTGACGTCAACTTGAACGCTGATCTCCTTCCCCTCACCAGAAGGAAAACAAACACTTAACCCCTGCACCGGCATTCATATTTAAATAGTAATTGCAAAAGGAGGAGATCTGAGCGAGGGCAAAGAGGGGGAGGCGGTAGCAGAGTGGGGTGGGGGGTGGGGGTGGTGGGGGGGAGTTGAAGAGGGCAATAGCTTAAAAAAGCATTATGTCAGTGAAGAATGTGTGCACGGCCCAGTGTTTAGGGGGGCACGGCTTGAGCAGAGAAAGAGGGTTTTGTTGGAGCAGATCTGGCTGCCTGGCAGGCTGATGGAGGGGCTCTTTCCCCCGTCTGGTTCACGGCGCTTTATAGCTCGGGGGGTGACTTCCACTCACTGGGTGTAAAAGTTGGGCCTCCTCAAAAGGGACCCCCTTTGTGCCGAAGTTTACTCTCTTTCCAGAAGGGAAGGCCTGTGCCTCGTTGACATCACAGGCTCCCCCCAATATGGTCTCCTTTTCACTCCCCCCGTGTTCCACTCCACTTCGTCAACCCGTGGATGACCGGGCGGGGCTCTGGCAGGTGCCACGACAGGGAGGAGAGGGACGCCCT